GCATCAGCGGAGCAGGAAGGCTGACGTTTCGGGCCTAGATCCTTCTTCAGAAATGGAGAAGGGGAAAGGGGTTCTGAAATAAATAGTGAGAGAGGGGGAGGTGGATAGAAGATGGATAGAGGAGAAGATAGGTGGAGAGGAGACAGACAGGTCAAAGAGGTGGGGATGGAGCCAGTAAAGGTGAGTGTAAGCGGGGAGGTAGGGACGAGATAGGTCAGTCCAGGGAGGACAGACAGGTCAAGAGGGCGGGATGAGGTTAGTAGGTAGGAGATGGGGGTGGGGCTTGAGGTGGGAGGAGGGGATAGGTGGGAGAAAGGACAGGTTAGGGAGGCGGGGGAGTTGAAATGGTTCGTGACTGGGAGGTGCAGTTGTTTAGTGCGAACCGAGCGTAGGTGTTCTGCAAAGCGGTCCCCAAGCCTCTGCTTGGTTTCCCCTCCCATTTCAACCATTTCAACTCCCCCTCCCAGTCCGCAGACAACATGTCCATCCTGGGCCTCCTGCAGTGCCACAATGATGCTACCCGAAAGTTGCAGGAAGAGCAACTCATATTCCGCTTGGGAACCCTGCAGCCCAATGGTATCAATGTGGACTTTACAAGCTTCAAAATCTCCCCTCCCCCTACCGCATCCCAAAACCAGCCCAGCTCGTCCCCGCCTCCCTAACCTGTCCTTCCTCCCACCTATCCCCTCCTCCCACCTCAAGCCCCACCCCCATCTCCTACCCACTAACCTCATCCCGCCCTCTTGACCTGTCCCCTCCCTACCTCCCCACCTACCCTCACCTTTACTGGCTCCATCCCCGCCTCTTTGACCGGTCTGTCTCCTCTCCACCTATCTTCTCCTCTCTCCCTATTTATTTCAGAACCCCCTTCCCCTCCCCTATTTCTGAAGAAGGGTCTAGGCCCGAAGTGTCAGCCTTCCTGCTCCTCTGATGCTGCTTGGTCTGCTGTGTTCATCCAGCTCTACACCTTGTTATCTTCAAGAATTAGTGAATTTGCACTCCTCCGTTTCTTTGTTCATTCACTGCCCTCAGAAATGTGCTGATTACTGTCTCTCCATTGTTTATCTCCCAAAGTGCATCACTGAACATTTAGTTGCCATAAGTTGCCTCTGCCTGTTTCAATGATCTGTCTATGGATTCCAGAAGTCTGCTACTATCCTACTCTGCATTTTCTGCATTGCTGAGTTTTGTGACATATTTTACTAGAAATGCAATGGTTCTAAGATCCACTCTTGTGAAATTCCGTTGCATCCATCTCTCTGATGAGACAAACATATTTTTGCCAATACCATTTCATATACCTCAACCAATTACTTAGCCAAATTACCATTGCCCCTTTAACACCATTTGTTCCTATTTTCTGAATAAGTCTGTTGGGTATTACTTTCCCAAACATTTTTCGAACATCTGCAACTATCTTCTTCAATTCCCTTGTTTCAACATAAGACTCAAGAATACATTGGTCTTCTGTCATTAGTGAAATAAATAATTGCTCACAATGGAACACGTCATTTACACGATAATGTAATATTGCATTTTCACACTTGAGACTAATGATAAAGTTTATTTCATCTTGATTATCACTATTTGCTCCACAAGTGATTGGTGAGAAAATTCTCTGACTTTTTAATATTCTACACATACTTTCCCATCTGCATGTTGTAATATGGTTTTCTCATTACCGTAAACAATATGTTTGATGTAAATAATCATTTCTTTTTACAAAAGCAGAGGAGGGATTAATTGAAATTGATCATTTACACAAGGTGCCAACTAATGATGATCATGGATGGATGAAAACTGTTGCTTGCAATTCTTGTGCCATATGGAAACTTCAGGACGTGTCATGTATTGTGGGAGACTAAATGTGTAGGAAATATTTCCAGCTGCTTCAGCTCGAGCTCAGAGTTTCCAATCTTGAGGAGCAGCTGGAATCATGTGCGAAACAAAAGGGAGCTTGAGTGTTTAACAGATTCTACAGTCCCAGACGTGACCACATCAAAGAGAGTGTGTGTTTGGGACAATAGATGGCTGGCAATCCAGACGAATAGGAAAAGTCAGGAATTGTTGATGTCCTTGGGTGTATGCCACCCTTAAGCCAATACTCAGTATTGGAGATTGTTGGAGGTGATGACATATTGAGAGAATGCAGTTAAAATCATGGCCCTAATGGACAAAGTAGTGCAGAGGGAGGAATGACAAAGCACAGAAATGGAGGTATTCTCGGTGATTCTGTCTCTGGGGAACAAACTAATGTCGTAATGCCCTACTTGGAATGTTGCAACCACAGAGCCTAAGTTGAGGATTTCATGGTGAGGGTGCAGAATATTGTGCACTGTCAAAGGAATGAGTTTGAAATTAAGGTACATGACACTACCATTGATGCAGAAGTCAGGTTTTGAGGTACTCCGTTAAACTTTTAGGATTTGGGAAGGAAGTTCAAGAACTAGGACCTTGAAGGTCCTAGGATTACTCACCATTTCATATTTCAGACAGAAAATAGGGAGTTGTGGTAAATTGTTGTTTTCAGACCGGAGGATGGTAAACTTGGGTGTTCCCCAAATTCAGTGCTCGGACCATTGCTTTAATGTCTTTTATGTAAATAATTTAGATACTGGGCAATAGAGCAAAATTTGACAGTAATATCAACTTGGAGGTGTGACTGCAACAGGACATAGTCAGTCTAGTAGAACAGGCAGTCAGAAATCAGGGTGGCACAGTGGCTCAGTGGTTAGTACTGCTGCCTCACAGCATCAGGGACCCAGGTTCAATTCCAGCCTTGGGCAACTGTCTGTGTGGAGTTTGCATGTTCTCCCAATATCTGTTTTGGCCCATAGTGTTCAGGGATGTGCCGAGTAGGTAGGTTAACTGGTAAATGCAGGGTCGCTGCATAGTAGGGAGAATGTGAAGGTCCTTGACAGGGTATGAAGTTTACCAGAATAGTTTCTGGCATGGGATTTTTAACTATAAGGTTAGGTTGGACAAGCTGGAGTTGTTCCCCTTTGACCTAAGGAGGTTGCAGGAAGACTTCATAAGGTGAATTTGATTATGACCATTTCAGACACAGTAGACAATAATAAGAAAAAAGCTGTTCCCATTAGCTGATTGTACAAGGACTGTGGTGGGAGGCATGTTTTTTTTTAGACGAGATACGGGGGTATGTAAGGTTGATTGTTTTTTAATGCAGAGAGTGGTACTATCCTGGAACTCACCCTGTGAGGGCTGTGAATGTGGGCATAATCAGTCAGATCAGATATGACCTTATTGTATAATGGAACTGTCTAGAGGAGCTAAATAGTCCACTGCTGCTCTTAATTCAGGAACACATCTGTACAACATGGAGGGATTTGAGGGGATGCAAGACATTTTTATGAGGATGATAGTGGAACCATTGGGTTATATATGAGGAAACAGTGAGTAGGTTAGACCTCCTTTCTCTTTAAAAGAGAACATTTGAGGAGAAACCTAAAGAAGTCTTTAAAGTTAAGAGGTTTCATTGGAGTTGATATAAAGGGTGAATTTTCCTCATGACAGTGGGAAACAGGAGTCAAATTGTTTTTGGAATCCATCTCCTTCCATTGGTAAAATGAAAGTTAGTATTACACATGGGTGAACACTTAATTGACATGGAGACGGGTTCCCTGTACAGTTAAGGGTGGTTTGCAGGCTCTGGAAGATAGAGGGCCAATCAGAGGCCTTTCAGCTTCAGAGAAACTACTTGGTGTTTTACTAGGTAAGCAATGTGGAGGGTAGTTCAACAAGAAGGTTACCTCTCAGCCACTTACTAAAGTTTAGTATAGAAATATACAATGAAGCTAGGCCACCAGGAGTGTGGTGTGGAAGAGGTGGAAAGGGACTTCCTACAGGGCTAGTCTATTATTGTACCTTCACCTGTGTAGGCTGATAGAAAGGATCTGTGATGAAAATTTGCTGCTGGGCCCAAGATCTAACAAGGGTGAAGAACTGCCACGCTACTCATCTTGGAACCTTTGGACACTGTCCAGCTTCTTTCTGATGCCTGTGAACCCTGAAGATTTAGGCCAGTGTATGTTTCCACTTGAAGGAATGGGGAAAGAGAGTAAAACCAGTGGACAGCAGTAGAGGATAGCCACCAGGAAATCAACTGAGTAATCCTGAAGAATTTTGGTTAACCCAGAAAGTGGTGAGAATGTACAATAGGCTACCACAAGTAGTTGTTGTGATCAATAATATAAATGCATTCAAGGGGAAATTTATATACATTGGCATGCACTTGTTGAGCTGAATGTCCTTTTTCTGAGCTGTTTATCATTTGTGATGTCAATTGATTCAAAAGTCAGAATCAATCTCTGCCTCCTCCCAGTAGACATTTGGGCAGAGCTTGGAGTACTTGTCAACATTTGGCTTAGAGTTTTTGGTTGGGTCAGTGACAGGCTGACAAATTTAGTGGAACATCCTGCACATGTTCGTGATTGAGGGAAAGCTGATGGATATTGTGTTGGGCAGCAGTTATAGAAAGTAATGGTGTGACTTGCTCATCACAACCTTACCAAAACACAGTTTTTGTTTTAATAGAAACAGGAAACGTGTGAGAACCATATTTCTATTCAAGTTATGAACTTGCTTTCACCCTGTCCTGTATCATTGCTATAGAACCACCGCCCACTCAGTATGCCCGTGACATTAATGTAGGATCTTCCTATGTCACGTTGCCACTCCTACAATTTAGCACTGGCTATGTTTCCACTACTTCCATACCTTCCCCTCCTCTTTGGTAAGTTGTGGTGTCGCTTTTAACAAAGACGGTTAAATGCAGCAAACTGTATATCCTTTGTATGTTAAAGAAGATAGTCTGAAAGTACTCCCATCTGAATTTGCAGCTCTGGGACTGCAATGCAGTTGTGTTACTTAATCACCCATATGCATAGAAAGGGAAAATAAAAAGTAATTATATTATTTTAAATAAATTGTACATGAGGCAACAAAGCTCTTTATTTTTAATTTTGTCTCCTTTTCCATAGGCGTTCCCTTCCCCAAGAATTTTATGCAACTCTGTAAGAAGATTCTCACTAGACTTTTCCGAGTCTTTGTTCATGTTTACATTCACCACTTTGATCGGATTAGTGCCATGGGAGCAGAAGCCCACGTCAACACTTGCTACAAACATTTTTACTACTTTGTGACGGAGTTTGACTTGACAGATGAGCGGGAATTGGAGCCTCTGGTATGTATGTTTACATGTACGGCTGTATGTATTTCTGAGTCTTACCTGTGAAGTCATATTTCTGTTGGCTTTATTTTGAAGAAATAATCTTGCATTTTGCCACTTGTGCATCAGGAATGATGTAGAAATTTTCAGCGGCTGTTTTTTAATTCATTCATAGGATGAGGACATCGCTGGCCAAACCAGCATTTATTGCCAATCCCTAATTGCCTAACGGGCAGTTCAGAGTCAGCCACATTGCTGTGAGTCTGAAGTCACATGCAGGCCAGACCAGGCAAGGATGGCAGTTTTCTTCCCTAAAGGATATCAGTGAACCAGATGGGTTTTCCAACAATTGACAATCATTAGACTCTTAATTTAATTTTTTTTTTAACCTGAATCCAAATTCTACCATCTGCTGAGGTGGGATTCAAACCCAGATGCCCAGAACATTATCTGGATTAACAGTCCAGCAATAATACTACAATGCCATTGCCTTTCCATTTATGGGCATAGAAAATAAGTGCAGAGTTACTGTGGCGCTGTGGGCCTGCTCCACCATTCAACAAGATTGTGGCTGATCTGTTTGTTTTTTGAATTTCACATTCAATCTACCCCCGACAACCATTGGTTCCCTTGACTAAGGAAACATCAATTCACCTCTGTCTTAAAAATATTTAATGACTCTAGTCCACCACCTATCCAAATGTTGGTTGATCCTGTCCCTCCGTATCTTCTCCAATAACCTGCCTACCACTGATATCAGGCTCATTGGCCTGTAGTTCCCTGGCTTGCCTTTGCTACCTTTCTTAAACAATGGAACAACATTAGCTACCTTCCAGTCTTCTGGAACTTCACTAGTAGCTAAAGATGAAGCAAAAGTCTCTGCAAGGGCCTCTGCAATTTTTTTCCCTAGCCTCCCACAACGTCCAAGGATGGACTTGATCAGGCCCAGGGGATTTATTCACTTAATGCGCTTTAAGACTGCAACTACCTCATCACTGGTAATATGGATGCGGTCGAAAACATGCCCACTTGTTTCCCTTATTTCATTAGGATCCATGATTCTCTCCTCAGTAAACACTGAAGAGAAATATTAAAAATCTCCCCCGTCTCCTGTAACTCCACACATAGACGGCCATGGTGATCTTTAAGGGGACCTCTTCTCTCCCAGCTACTTTTTACTCTTAATACAGCTCTAAAACCTCTTGGGATTATCTTTAACCTTATCTGCCAGATCAATCTTATACCCTCTTTTTGCTCTTCTGGTTTCTCTCTTGAGTGTACTCCTACACTTCTTATAGCCATCTAGGGATTCACTTGAGCCCGATAGCTTAAACCCAATATATGCCACCTTCTTTTTCCTGACCATTCACTTTACTTTCAGTTCCGAGGAAGGATCACTCTGGACCTGAAACATTAACTCTGATTTCTCTCCACAGATGCCGCCAGACCTGCTGAGCTTTTCCAGCAATTTCTGTTTTTGACTCACTTTACTTTCTCCTTTCCTTTTAAAACCTTTAAAAATGGATAGCAGGAGTTTCTATATGTGTAGCTAGCTTTCTCTCATACTTTATTTTTGTAGCCTGATTAACCTGTTAGTCAAACTCTACGATTCTTTATTTTCTGACCAATTATCTGACCTGCCACATACCTTTTCTGCAGTTATATGCTATTTCCCTAACTTTAATTAATCATGGATGGTGGGTCCTCCTGTGAAACTTTCCTTTATGGTTGGTATAGATTTATTTAGAGGATTCTGAAATATCACCTTAAATGTCTACCACTGCATCTCTATTGATCTATCCTCGAGTCTTGCACGCTAGTTCATATTTTAGATTTCTTGCCCACGTGGTCACCCTTGCTTAAGTTTAAAATACTCTTTAAAGAGCCAGTCATCTCCCTTTAAGACTGGATGTAAAGTACAGTCAGATTGTGGTCACTGCTACTTGGGGTGTCTTTATGATGAGGTCTTGAATTAATCCTGTCACATTTCACAATACCAAGTCCGATTATAACATGCCGTCTGGTTGATTCAAGAATTTGCCACTCTTAAGAAATTATCTTGAAACTGTTCTATGAATTCATCGTAGCTACTATAGCTGACCTGTTTGTTACAGTGTGTATGCAAATTAAAATCACCCAAGATTATGACCAGAGGTAGTGGGA